TGTCCCACGCCTGCCTGCAGGAATGTGAGCAGTGCTGCTGGTGTGCAGGGCTAGTGCGAGAGCAGCACAGGAACGGCGATAGCTGGGCTTGCAAATCCTAAGGGCATGCCAAGAACACCATTCTGTATCATAAAAAGGCTTATTCATTACCTGCTGGTATTCCAAACAGCTCTAGGGCAGGGATGGGTTAAACAGACTGGAAGGAATTGGGAAATTCACTCTGGCCCTACCCTGCAAGGCACAAACTACTGCTGGAGCCAGAAGCACGTGGTGATCAGCATCCCTCCTGATTCTAATCTTTTTCCATTTAGGATTCCCATCTCTGTCCCAAATGCCTGCTTTTCCATCCTCTCCTAACCATTAGACATGAGGCCAGAAACGTGGGTTCAGCTCAGTACCCTGTCACCAGGCAGCCTGAACAATGCAGGATGCCAAGGCAGAGATTCCAAATGAGCTTTGCTGATCTGGGAAAATGAGGGGCACAATTCAGACACAGATGCTGTGACTGGGATCCCACAGCCATCAGGGACTCCATCCACCATCCAAAGCATCCAGACTGTACCTGATTTGTGTATGCAGACACACAGCAAAGCACCCAGCCACCAAAACCTCCAACTACAAATAAAGAACGGGCTCAGAAAACAAGAAGTCTTTAAGATAATTAAAATATCCTGGGTTTAACACGCTCGGGGAATATTAAGTTACACACCAGAAAACTCGAGCCTGGGTTTTCAGTCCGTTAGGAAGTATGTGACATGCTGGATCAATCTCTGCAACTTTCACCCTCCATCACAGGTTTCTCACCAGCCACAGAGCCTCTGGTTTCCTTTCTGGACCCACCTGGAGAAGGCTGAGGTTGCCACAACCCATCTGCTTCGGGTCCTGAGCATCACTGCCTTGTGTCTCCAGCTCCTTCCTGCACATCCCTGGCCAGGTCCCTGTGGTTAGGACACAGCCTTACCAGGCTCATGGGGACATCCCATAGGATCAGCCTTGTCTTCCCAGGCAAATCTTGTTACTGCTCCCCTGGCAAACATGCCCTCTTTGCACAGGACCATGGGAACCATCCTTAACCTTATTCACACCTGCTAACCCTGAAACTTCCTCCCTCAACTCCCCTCTCCCTGCTCATCCCAGCCACTATTTGTTATTTTAGCACGTTTTGGCAGGGATTTGGTAATTGCCATGAGTCATAACACCAGAATTTACCTATCAAGAAGAATCACAGATCAGACACTCAGCAATGAATATTGTATAAGCTTGGAGGAGAATTAGCATAAACGGGCTCAGTTTGATTTTATGCATTAGAAAATGGATTGGGTTCCCACAGGGCTTGTGCTTTATGAAAACACAGGGACCAAATGGTTTGTTACTGAACCTGGCAACACATTTACTTATTTATAGAATAGAACCCATACCTGACATGGAAATCTCATCTGCATTAAGTCTGCCGGGTGAGTAATCAAAATGGACGTGATGCCAACATTCAGAACACACCAACCACAGTGGTGTGTTTTACTGCTGGTTTTTCACCTTTTCAGAAGAAAGACCCAGAAACCTGCTACGAGAAACCTCCCACAACAGTAACTTCCAGGCTGTTCCCACCAGCCCAGCTGTGAGACTGACCTGTGGGTGTCTGAGCTCAAGGCACTGCAAATCCCAGAGAGACACCACAGAGCCCACAGGGAATATTCAGGAACCCAAAAGCTCTCCCAAGATACAAAACAACAAGAAGAGGGGGATTCCTGTCCAGGCATAAAATTTACCCTGCTCCCCACCCCATAGGAGAGCTAACATCGGGGATTTCACCCAAGGCAGGACCACGCTGAGCAGGAGCAGCACCCACAGCGGAGAATTATGTCTAAGGAGCCACAACACAAGCCATGACTCTCTCCCAGGATAGTGCTGCACCCAGAAGCAATTTAATATAGGTGGGTAGGGTACAGCCCACTGACTGCACATGGGTTATGAATAGAGGTATTCAAGTAAACCCAAATAAAGGCCAATAACTCAACTTACATTTTATACTGAGTTTTTGAGTGCTGCAGGGGCCAGCACAGGACTAAAACAACAAGAGATTTGACTCGCTTGCTGCTTTCCACTACTCAGGAACTTAAAGCAGTCAGGGTAGACAAGCTCTTCTGTTGTTTCAGCTCCCAGCCTTACAAAAACCAGTGGAAAAAACAGTCCATCTGCATGCTGGGCTCTCAACCCAGGGCACTACCAGGATGGTAACCTGGACACTGATTGGGCTACGTGCTCTTACTGGTGCATAGATGCAGCTCTGAAAGGGGCTTCAGAGAAGCAGGAGCCACGTATCCAGGGAAATGCAGGCCAGATTACATGGGTCTCATTTCTCACTCAGGTCCAATACCACCAAGTGGTGATGAGCTGAGCCCAGGACATAGAGATCTGTCTGCAGAAAGCTTTCACTACAGTGGGTGCAGCAGCCTGCTGCAAAAGCTTTGACTGCAAACAGGAGGGCAACCATGTAGTTGGCACAGAGGATCCTGGGTCACTGCCTCAGGATCAAGGACAAGCTGGAGCCCTGAAGAGCAGCTCCAGGGTTCACCTCCAGCCCTGTCCCTTGTCTCCCAGTGCCTTGACACCCTCCCTGCAGCCCCCTGCTCCATCCCAGATCATGGGGGGGAAACACAAGCCCAGCCAAGCCTGGGAGGTTCCTGGGCAGGCAGGGAGGTGGGACAGTGATGCCTCCCATGCCAGGTGCAAATCAGCCTATCTCTGCATTTCCATGTGACTTTGTGGGATTGCAGGTTATCCTTGTGGAGAGATTCCCACTTTACAGGAAAGCCATGACAGATAAGCAGAAGGGTTTGCACTCAAACAGGCCCAAATCTCAGGGTCAGGATCCCTGGGAGAGCAGCTGAAAGGCAGGGGGTAAATGTGGGAGCTTCCCTGGCAGAGAACGAGGTCAGGATGCAGGGGAACAGCAACTATTTACATTTTCAGGTCAGCACACAATGAAGAGAGATATTTAAGGAGCCAGTGGCTGGAGTCAGAGGGAAAGCTGTTGTCATTGTTTCCCTGGCTACAGCATGCCTGGTGCTCACGTATCCACGGCTGGACCCCTTATTTACAGAAAGTCCCAGTGAAACTGGCAGCCGTCCTGCACTGAAACCGGCACTGGGGAGGTTTGTGAGAGGGCTGGGGGAAAGATGGATGAATTTGGAAAGCTCCTGCCTCATGGGAAGGTAATTAAGCAGCAAAATGATGGTTATTTAAAGCAGGCAAATGGTTATTCTTGGTTTGAGGTCAAGGAACAGAGCTGAGCAACAGCACCTGAGCTCACCCCAGAAGGGGTGTTCGGAGAGGAACCCAAGAAGGGATTATTTCTCCTGCCTTTCTCCCCAAGTCCTGGGCCACTTTTGGCAACACTCCTGCTCCCCTGACCCTTCCTAGCCTGTAAACCTTATTAACCCTCTGCCAGCCTGTGCCCATCTCCCCAATGCTGCATGCAAATGGGTACGAAACAGGCAAGTTGCAGCCAGACCTTTAAACCACAGGGAGAAACCACATGGCTGTACAGAAGACCTGCTTGCAAGCTGTTCACCTTGCATGTCTCTGCTCTGCAGTTTGTCCCCTTCAGGAACAAGGTGCCAGCCTCCAGGAGGGCTGCTGTGAGCTTGTATCATCTTCAGGATGCTTTGAAGCCACCTAGACACACAGAACCTCTCTCCTGCCCCTCCGAGCAGCCAGGGCTGCTGGAATTCTGGCACTGGCACGTACAGTAAAGGCAAAGCCATGGTTTACATCAAACACACACTCTTCTGTAATTCATATCACTAACAGAAACCAGATGCCACCTTCCCCAGCCTCTGCACAGAACGATGGCCTGCCTTTGTGGTACATGAAAAAGCAAGAAAATGAAATTTAAACCTTCAAGAAAAAGCAAAAAATAAATAAATCAGTAATTAGGCAAAAAACATCCAAGCCAAAAACAGCTTCCAAGTTTCCAGGAAGAATTAGGTTGTTTATGGAAGTCCTGTTTCAACTAACAGCCTGCCTGGCAGGTGGTAGGAATGTGAGTCTGTGGAGAGCAGAAACACGAAGCGGCCCTGCCTGGGGCACTGTGCTTTGCTGTTTTCTTGTTTTAGTTAAAACAAGAGGAGACATTACAAATATTCCACAAAAGGAGCAGGAAGGAGAGCCCTGCAGCAGCCTGGGTTCCTACCTTGGATCCCGTAGAGTCGGTTCAGGCGCGACCGTCGGGCCTCGTCAGCGTAGGGCACAGCCACCCAGGGCATCTCACTGAAGTACTGCTTGAACGAGTCCTCTGACCTGTGCAAGGGGAACAGGGCATGGCATCCAGGGTGCAGCTCCTCATTACAAACCTGGCCTGCCGAGCCCTTTATCCCTTCCAGCAAAGCCCACTGGTCAGGGCTGCCAGCAGACACACAGTGCGGGCAGAGCGAGACCACCTTGAAATCCCCCGGTTCCGTCAAGAAGGGGTCCAGGGCATCTGTATGTCAACCCGTGGTGACAGCAGCAGCTCGAGCACCTTCAGGCCCACAAGCCACAAAGCAAAATCCTGAGCTGCTCCATGGGCAGAACTTGCTCTCAGCCCAACGCTGCCCTTGCTAAGCCCCCTTTGCCCTTCACTGCTTGGGCAGCTTTGCTGATACCAGAGCCAACCTGCTCTGCCCCAAACCAAACTTCCTCCTCAAATCAGAGCTTCCCAGCTTGGGGGCAGCCAGCTCTGCCTGCAGTGGATGTTAGGGCTTCCTTACCTGTCTGCACTAACGAAGAGTATCTCAAACTTCTGCCCTGCTTCCTTGATTTTCCGGTAGGACTCCACCAGGACCCTGGTGAGGCTGCGGCACGGCGGGCACTGCGGAACACAACGTGGTCATGAGGACATTGCCTCCTTCACAGGGCCAGACCCACACCCAGCAGGTTCAGGTGACCCAACTGACCATGAAAAGACAGATGGGACCTCATCTTTGCTGAAGCGTCAGGCATCAGTCTTGAACATGGCTGGGGCTTATGGCCCCTAAGTTGCCAACAAAACCTCTTCCATTTTTTAAATCTGAACGTTCTTCCCCTTCTGAAGGGCCAGCTGAGGACCACAGGCCACTGCAATGCTGAAGCTTCTTCCAAGAATGGCTGGAGCATCTTAATTGCTTCACCACCAGCCAGCCTGAGACGTTCACCCTTCCACAGAGCAAGAGCTCACTCTAGTTGCTCTGCAAAGCACCTACTACTCACCCAATGTGCAGAGAAGTAGACCCCAACGTGCGAGCCCTCCAGGGCACTGCTGTCTAGTGTCTGGCCATTGTTCCTTAGCAGAGGCCCAGCAACAACTTCACTGAAGGGTTTTGGCCCCCAGGGGAACTCCAGACCTAGAGAAGGTCAGGATGGGGATGGAAAGAAGACACAAACCAGCAAGATACACGTGCAGCATTACAGTTTCAAAAAGTTCCACCAAAAACAACCCCATCCCACCTTCTGCAAAGATGGTGCCAAGCTCTGCAGTGGAGCCAGGGCCAGCTCTTTCTCACAGGTAGGCTGCAGCCTCACCTGAGTTGTAGCACCTTTGGCTTGATGAAGCCTGCTTTGGTTTTGTGCCCGATGAGGCACCTTTTCCTTACCAACAGCATTTGTTTTAACAAGAGGGCAAGGTGGTACGTGCTCAGGAATGCAGTCAGACTATTTGCCTTATACTGATACCAACCTTAGAGGGTTTTTTATATATACACACAGATTTATTTATAAAACCTTATATATATATAAATGGTGGTTTACATACAGGTTTTTTTTTTTAATTTATAAACCTATATATAAACTAAACTTAGACTCTCTGCACCCCAAAGCAAGCATGTGTGCATACACATGAACACATGCTCTGAATCATCTGCTGCCAGCTCCCAGAGCAATCGATTTATGTACTCTGCCAGAGAGGAGGAAACACCACAGATGGCCCAGGCCACAGCATGTACTTGCTGCACAGTTCCTGCCACCTGAATGAAAGACTCAAGTCACCACACTCAGCATCTGCTGCACGAGGACAGGACGAGCGGGTGACGCGCGCGGCCTCGTGGGGCTGCAGAGTCTGTCAGCAAAAACACACATTTCTGCTCATTTTGGTTTTTGCAAATTGGAAGAAGATGGATTTCACACCAACCCCCAGCACAGTAAACCTCAGTAACAGAGAACAGTAGCGTTTTTCTGCTGCATTTGTAAATAACAGGGAATTCATTATCTGAGCAGAGGGTGATGTCAGTGACAAAGTCCCACTCAGCATTTTGGAAGGATTCTGCTTTCAAGCTATGGGATATCTGGGCCCTTAGTCTGCCTGTCCATGTGCTTCCATCAGGGAAAAATCCAAACTTAATGCTTCAGTTAGTCTAACTTTTTCCTCATTAGCACTTCAGACAAAATTCCTGGAGGGGAAATCTTTGTTCCTTTCAACAAGCAAAACCAAAACGCAAGATCTGGCAGGAATGATGCAGAAAATTTTATGCTGAAAATAATGCAGTGCCTCAATTAGTTAAGTATGACAATAGCAGTTTGTTTCCTTTTTTTTCTTCCCCCTCCAAGGCAATTAAAAATGAAATAAAAAGGCAGCCATGTGCCCATGCTTTCTGGCACACAGGACTTACCTTCTGGGTCATCTCGGATTACCAGGAGGCCATTTCTGCAAACCACCTTCCCAGTGGAGGCATCGATAAATATCAGGGAAGGAATGTTGGAGACTCTGTACTTGTTCCACAGCTTCAGCTGTAAAAGAGATTGGGAGGGATGAGGAGAAAGGTAAACTTGGTGGTGGGAAGAGGACAATTTGGGGGCATTACCTTTCAGATCAGAGGTAAGCACAGAAACAGAGCTGGTGCTTCAGCAACACGTGTGAAGGACAGTGAGGGTATCTCTCCAGAGCTGCTGGGCCAGCCTGGACACCCAGTGCCCACAGAGACCCTCACCATCAGCACCAGCCCCTCACACCACAGGTGAGACCAGCGTTGGTCTCATTCCTGTCATGGGCTTGCCAGTCAGCACAGGTAAAGCTTCTCCTCCTGCTGCATTTGTCTCTTTGCAAGTAAAATGAGGATGTTTACCATACTTTGAGGTATTTGTTTAGAAGACATGGGTAAGCACAAATAGTTGTAATGCCTCTGCTCTGAAGTAATTTGTAGTACTTCCCTGGCTGCTTCCTCCTCTCCCATTTCAATGTTCATTAAACAATCCAGCAACCCCTGCCAAGACACATCCCTGCTGCAAACAAGTCCAGCACACAGAAACCCAATTCTTCTGCAACTGGGGCTTCCCAGGTTTGTTCCCAGGAGTTGATTAATGGGTTTGACACTACCCTGGGGGCAGCACAACTCAGCTCATCCCTCCCACACTGCCAGACTCACAGAGGTCTCCACTGGCTGATGGTCATATTTGGGGTGTCCTGGTCTAGATGTTGCTGGTCATTAGTTTTTGCAGGGAGCTTGGCTCCACACAACACTGGTGACTGAATACTCCGGGTGTCACCTAGACCTGGGGTGACATTTCTCAGCACAGGCTTCTGGCACAGGGTAATTTGGAGCTTAACCCATGTACAGAAGCTCCCTGGGATGGGGAGAAAACAAAGCTGCTGGCAGGGCCCAACCTGCAGGTGTGGGCTGGTTGTGGCTGGAGGAGCTGGTCTCCCCACCATGCACAGAGGAGCTGCTGCAATCACCACATTTTCTTACATTTCTCCAAACATTTCAACCTAAACAGCCCAACAGTGAATTATCAAACTCTTAAACAAAAGCCAAACCACAGCTGAGAGCCAGAGGGGAAGGAAATGAATCACCACCTTCCCCTAAGCTCTCCTCTGTAAAGCCCCTCAGGCTCTGGGTGTTTACAGCTCGTTGGGGTTTGGAGAATAAAACCCAGAAACAGGAGAAAAGCAGGAGAGGACTGAGAATCCCACCCAGCACCAGCCACGGGTTTGAGCATGAGAGCTGGAGAAACCCTCACACAACCTCCTGCTGCTTCCACCAGTATCTCATGTGGAAACAGAACCCAGAAGCCTTCCCAGAGAAAGAGGCCACTACTCTATGGATCATCATCCCTGATTTCCAAACAGAGCCAACCCCACCTCCTGAGATGGGACTGATCTGGGGACCAGGCAAACCAGGGCAGGAAAGAGATGCAATGTTCAGGCAAAGCAAACCATATCCCTGGGTTTGCTCACCAGAGATCTAGCTGAGGGAGAAAGACCCATCCACAGCCAGGTTTTAATGTCACTGTGTTAAGTATTTCTTCCAACACCTTTTAACAAACGAGACACCTGAAGGAGTGACTCAAGCCAACCTGCCTGCAATGGAGTCTGAGCAAAACGCTCTGGGGTCTGACAGAAAACACTAACCCTGAGCTAGGAAGACTTCATTAACCTTCATCTACTAGGGCCCAGAGAAAGGCAACGTTTTGTGTCCTGCCCACCAGCCTTCAGTTTCCAGTAGAACTATTCCTTGGGACAAGCAGGTTCATTCATGATGCTGATTCAACAAACCAAGAGGCCTCGAGCGTGAAAAGGAACAAAAGAAATCACAGGAACTGCAAACCAGCCCCCTCACCACCAGTGAGTTCAAACCACAGAAGGTAAAATCCACTTTTATGAACTTTCAAGGGTGGGGAAAAGCTCTTAATAAGGATCACAGGCTTTTAAAAGGGTGTTGCAAACAATGAGGAAATTACAACTAGCAATTGGATCATTCTCTTTAAATAGCTGCTTATATTACACTCCTGCTTTACCAAGCCTGGTATCTCTGGCCAGCACAACCCCTGGGGCACTGTGGTGGGCCCTGGCCATTTTGCTTGGCTGGGGTCTGCACTCCAGAGCCAAGACTCACTGTACTCAGAGGGATGGGGCCAGGACACCCCAGATAAGGGGATAAGACGAAACCAGCCCTGCTCTCACTGGCAGCACCGGAGCGAGCGGGGCAGGGCTGGCTCCAGGCAGTCTCTGTGGTCCAGCAGACTTGGCAACTCTTGCCAATAACTAGCTCTGGGTCTTCTCAGGACATGTATGCCATCAGGCCCTCTGGCCCCACAGTGCCTTTGCAGTGACTAGTCTTGGCTGCCCAGACATCTGCAGGTAATCCTGCAGATACTGTCCCCATGAAACACAGGGTTGTCACCTCTAACTCATCACTGAGGGTCCACAGGAGAATACCTCAAGCAAGCCTGAAGCTGAGTGTGTGTGGAAAGGGTCAAAAAGCATCAAAAAAGCTCAACGTGGCATCTGCTGCTGGGGAAGTGTGTCCATCACCAGGCTCTAAGACTCGAGCCCAAGGAAAGTCACATCCTGCTCAGTCACACCTTGGGAGAACGAGAACAAGCAAACAAAACTGCCAGGTCCTACCTTACATCTGCCCAGAAGCCCCCAGCATCACACAGCTCCCAGACACCACCACCAGCCACCCCAGGTCACACCAACCACCCAGAGCTCCATTCACCCGCAGCACTCACTGTGTGCAACCTATTTTCTGCCTGGGTTATCACTGAAACCCATCACCCAGCACGGATGAACAAACACGACAATTGCACATTAGGAAGACTGAAACTGGCTCCCCATTTGAAGCCTGGTTATAAAAGGCTTGAATTGCAAATTAGTGGTCTCAACACACTAACCACGTTAATGTCACTGTCTGTATGGGCAAGCCCATGAATGTGCTGTTTAAAGCAGAGCAGTTTGGGCTGATGATTCTCCTGTGTGCTGGGAAAGCTGCTGTGGAACGAGAAGCGCATGCGTCGCAGGATGAGTGCCAGGGTCTGCCAGCATTCCCACTGCCCTGGTCCTCTTCAGCTGGGCTCAGCTTCCCAAAGCCTGTCAGACACCTCTCAGGGAAGCCTGATGGCTCCTCTTACTGCAGGTCTGACCCAAAAGAGCAGAACCTTGATAGGGAATAGGCCTGGCTCATTTCAGCTGGGCTTTTTGGGTAAGACAGCTCCCTGTAGGATTCCCACACCATTATTTCACAGCTGAACTGCAGCTTCCAGCAAAGACATCTGCTCTTCACCTAAAGCCTCTGAATACCAGCACAACCTAACCCACCTTGTGGCAATCTATTGCACCAGTTAGTTTTTCTCAGGATAAATGCTGAGGGTTTGCACACATGCAGGCTCTGGAAAGGAGATGAGCTCCTCCTTGGCGTAGACCCACTGGTTGTGGTCCAGGCAGGAAGAAAAGCCCAGGAGGAAAAAAGACACCCCTTGTACCTGCCCAACCACGTACCTCGCAGAGGATCCTGTGTCGGGTGGGGCGTGGGCTGCAGAAAGCAAATTACAACTTCCTCTGAAACCACAGGATGATGAGATGATAGCCCAGGCAGCAGGGCAGAGAGAGCTGCCTCAGCAACTTTTAAAAGCTGTTTTTCCTGCCGTGAAGAGGATGACATAGAAATAACATACTCCACACTCTGAGGATTTGATCGTCCATTTAAAGAGGGGATCTCTGCTCCGCTTCCCAACAGCTGTTGCAAATCTGTGGGATCAAGCCAAAGCTAACACAGATGTGGAAATAATCTAGGGACTATTCAGCCCGAAAGCAGCTGATCCTCTCGGAGTGCCCGTCGCTGCTGGTTCAGGCTACACAACTGCTGAACTCAATCCTCACCCCAGGATGCCAGCTGGGGAAGCAGTGAGGAGATACACCCCCTCGAAAGAGGCAGCCCAGGCTGCTCAGCTGCACAGAAACCTCTCTGGCTCCTGTGCAGGTGGTTAAGTCCAGCAGTCCAGTGGAAAAACCAGAGTCACCAGATTCCTCCAGTAACATTATCCCCACACAAAGCATCACCACAAAGTCCTGAAGGACCTGGAAACCGCAGCCCTGGGATCTCTCTGCAACTCCATCCACCAGCAGCCACCAGAGGCTTTAGAGCTGATTATTTGAGGTGGGAGGGGATCCCCAGAGCCCCGCAGGGCCGGGCAGCAGCCCCACAGCCTCTCACAAAGCTGCTCTCCACACCAGCTGCTGGCTGGGTTATTTCCCCCACGCTGGTGACTGGGAAATGCCTGGCTGAGAGGCACGTTGGAGAGCTCTGCAGGCAGCTGCAGTCATTTTTCCAGATAAAGGTGTCAGAGGAGAGGTCCCCCCAGCAGCACAGGGCTGTTCCTGCCCAGGGCTGGCACTCGGCCGGGGCAGATGAAATCCCCTCCTGCTCTGTGGGTACTAGTGGAGAAGGGATCCCCTGCTCCCAAAAGCTGCTGAGCTCTATTTTTGGTTGTGCTGATTGATTTATCAGCCCTTGGTTGCATTCCCTTACGGAACATAAATCCCGAGCTGCAGCAGTTAACACTGGGGAAGATAAAACACATCTGCTTGCAGTGAAATGAGCCCTGGATGGTGGGAAAGCAGTTCTCCCACCCTGCTTGGGGGTTGCATTTCTCTGCTGTTGCGTGAACCTGGACCATAAAACCTCTCACTGCTCCATAGGATATGGAGCTGCCTCCACCAGGAGATGCAGAGGTTTCAGAGGCACCTGCCCTTGCCAGCAGCAGGGCAGACACTGCCTCTGCCCATCTTGCACCCCACGCTCCCACTCTCCCCAGCAACAGCCAGACAAAGCTGGTTTAAAACCTCAGAAGCAGATCCCTCAGCAACAATGGACCTGTTCCCAGTGTGGACGGCTGCTGCTTTCTGCTACATGGAATGCAAAGCCTCTTTTCTCATAAAAATCCATCCTTGAAGGCAACACCCCCAGGGTCTGGGCAATTCCTCTGGGGAGGCGTTGGAAGGACCCTGCTCTTCCAGCAGCCCCAGTGCCCATGCGAGAGCATAGTGGGGTTCCCACTACAGACATGAGCTCAGCTCTTGCTGGTCTCTTGTTCCAGAGCCCCAGGCTGAAACATGAAGTCTGTCTGAGGAACTCACAAGCAGCACTGGGGTAAAAACCACCCCTGGTCCAGGGAAGCAGGGACTGGCAGAGCCCATTTCCCAGCTTTGCCTCCAGCCCAGCTCAGGGCTGGGGATCCAGCCCCGGCCGTCCCCACCACGCGCTGCGGGGGCCTTCTCTGTCCTTGCTCTTTGCAATGTCAAACTGTGGCTTTTACATGGAGCCTTCAAGGGTTTACAAGCACCAGGGGCCACCCAGGCTCTGCAGGCAGGGGC